TTATTCACTGAATAAATATGTATTTTCCAAGACATCTGTCTCTTTTATTGGGAAACTATGGCCGAGGTAAAATGTGCACGTAATAAGCTTATTAAAAATTATTTCTTGTAAACGCAAAAAGAGATATCAGAAAGCCTGTGGATGCTCAGTTATATGCACGAATTATAATGGTACCTGTGATAACTCGCAAGTTCCATTACAAGATAGCCATGAAAAGGAAGAAACGAAGACTATTTCGAGCACGAAGAGAATTACGATGAAACTGTTAATCCCATCGTGAAAGATGTGGAGGAAAATTGGGTCTGTGACGTTTCGATCAGTACTAAAAGCAATAGACTCGCAACACCTGGTCCATCAAGAACAGCGAAGCGAAGGAGAATGCGCTAAATTTTGGAATAGTGAATTGCATGTGGATTTTTTTGCCAAAACCCGCATTGACATACTCCCACCTGATCTGCGATTATCCGCGTACTTGTTGACTCTTCCTCTATAATGTTTAAAATGTGTTTCTCACTACTTTAGATAAGCACCCACTAAAATCACACGCGACTAAATTATAATAACCGGTACACAATGAATTGTGATTCATAGGAAAAACCTAAAAAAAGAGATAAAACCAGTCTTATTAGTTAGCGTAACTTTTCATACGTCCAGACCCGGATTAAAATTTTGTAATTCTACATATTTCTTAGTTCTGATTTTTTTTTAAAGATATATGAATAATATGTTAATTTTAACGACTTAGGATGCACCTTGTATACTTTAATTGCAATCAAAATCTTCTTTTCATATCAAATTTTAATACTAATTTTAAATTATATTTTTGTTTTTCGAGATTGACTAATGTGATTTAATATTTAAAAGTTTTCTGTATTTTTAAAAATAAAGGTACAAATTCAAATTTTTTACTTCCCTAATAAATAACGGTAAATATTATTTAAAATGTAATATGTGAATATTTGGTTTTAGGCAACTCATCAGCTTTCATCGAAAAATAACATTTTCTGAGAAATTTACAATAACAATTATTTCAATTATTTCATTGAAAGGAAATGATATGAATAATTGGTCTGTCAAGCACTTACGTAGAGTTATTTTGTGTGTCGGCACACTGAAATTGACTGGGCAATTAACTTAATTAAATATTGGTTCAACCGAATTTTTTTTAGGTCAATTAATAAACAGATGTCGGAAATATAACCGTTTTATATTACCTAATATCAAACTATTGAACACCGTTGAAACAATGCTAGTAGAAATGGAAGGCAAGTAGTAAAAGAACACAAGAAGGAACCAGAACTAGATACTAATAAAGACGTATAAGAATTTATAAGCATACAAATAGAAAATACGTTGAGAATATCGGTATATCCGAATAAGAGTGTCTTTTAAAGCCCACTTGTACTAAAGGTTTAGATTTATTGTACCTTTTTCAGTTCCTAGTCAATCGGGTTAATATTATTGATTAAATCAAGAGATTTAGCTTCTAAGGCCGCAGTGTCCCGTAAAAAATCCTATTACGATCTTTAGTTCGTTCCTGATACGGTTTAGCAGTTGATTTTGTCTTGGATAGACTCTCTATGAATATTTTAGATTGCCTGGGTTCAGGAAGTTCCAACCAAAGCATACAATATTCTCTATTTACCTGTACCATTATCACCTCTTTAATATATTGATATGAAATACCACACATGGGTTGTTCAGTTAGAGTTAGGTCCCTTCTTCGCTAAGAAGTCTACCTTCATTTCCTGGCTAGGACGTCTGCCTTCTCGTTTTACAACACTACCTCATATCCCGGCACCCATTCAAGAGTGACCTTGTTATGTTCTGCCAGGGCCTGGAGAGACTAATATTAATTTGGAGTGTACTTCTATTCTTTTCTATGCTTTCAATGCTGTCTGGCTGTCTATTATAATAAAGTCTTTTAGCATAACTTGGGCATAGTTATTTATTGCTTTTCCTTCAGCCTGCAAGACTATCAATAGAGACTCCAGGTGGTCCTTCCTGAGTGCGCATGGTAAATCCTAGATCATGTGCTGTTTTTCAACTTCGAGCCATCTGAATACCAGATTGATTCGTTTTATGTTATTCTGATTTCTCGACTTTTGGCCCTTTCTAGTACTGGAATATCAAAGAGTTTCATAAAGTCATGAATAAAATGTATTCTGTTCTATGGAATTATTAACAACACTTTTATTTAAATTTTTCTAATGGTGTCCTTTTCTTGAAGATTAGGTTAGGTTAAAAATGTGTGGGACGCGTCGCCTTCCATTGTGAGCTAGATGGATCTATTGTGGCTCCTGTCCAACTTATAGTTCACCGTACAAGCCATACCTTTTAATGAAGGTCATGGTTGAATTGCGTGAGACTTGTAAACTCAGTAGGCTCTAGTAGCCTTTTTTTGAAAGTTTTCATCCCCACTTGTAAACAGATGCCACAGCTTCTTTTTCCATCACAAGGTGTAATGGAGGAATACTTAGCAGAAGCTTCAATCTACAGACTCATAACATGTTGGTATTTTATATGGTTGCAGAATCTAGGATAATTTCTTCCTTTTCCATCTATAGATGTTGTTCCCACATACAAAGCTCCTTCATTCTAGGTTTCTTTTTCTTGGTAATGCCAAAACAGAAGTATTCTCCGGGATAGTGGACAATCCCTTGTTTAGGCATTATCTTTCGACGATATTTAGTGCCTGCTGCATCCTTTAAGAAGGCCCCAAGTAGACGGTTTACTGAGATGTTCATATCGTCTGCAAATGCTGGAGTATATACGTTTTTCTTCTCAAGCTCAAGAGATCATTAACTATCAAGGTCCACAATATGTGGAGATAAAATTCCTCCCTGCGGGCAATATTTGCTAACTAAGATCTCTCTCGCTGTGTTAAAGCGATTACTGGTAATGGCTCTATGGCTCAGGAAGAATTCAACCCACAGAGTAACGCCACGCCTATGCATAGATTTTAGTATTGAATTGTAAGAAACAGAATCATTTGCTTGTTTTGGGTGTAGGAATACTCGTACTATTTCTTTGGTATCCAACGCTGTGAGTAGATAAAGTAAACAAATTTAGCAATATACATATTGGGGAAAGGGATATAAATGTTAATAAATCGACTAAATAGCATCAACCAACTGGTCTTCCGGATGCAACCCTGTGAGGTTTCATTATCTCGTATAATTCTGCTTATTCATTTTTTCGTCGAAATTTTAACTAGATTAAAGTTCAATAAATTCTTCTCTTTCTACATTCTTCTATTTCTACAGAAGTATTTTGTTGAAGTTAATTGTCTCGGAAAATTTTGGAATCCAAAAGAGATTTAACTTTACGTAAATCTAAATGCTTTAGTAAACCACTGGTTTCTTATCCACGTGTATAAAGAAGACACACACATTTAGGTTTGGCTTCAATTAGTTCTACTTAAAGAATATGTTTAAAAATGAACCTGGTAAGTATAATTATGGTGTATTTTTTATCGTATTACCCTTATATATGTGTTATTGAAACTATGTCAGTCATAATTAGTTTTATATTTATGTCATGCTTAATTATTCTGCTTATTAAGGCCACAGTTTTACCTACAAGAAGCAAGGGTTTACTATTTCCAAAACCGTTTAAATTCTACTAAATGTAGTAAAATAAATCTAATATCAGTTCAAAGTATAAGGTTTAAAAAGAAAAGGAAAAACTCTAAGTCTTGACCACAAAAATAATTTATTGTTATTTAAAACAGAGAAAAGCGACTAGTTTCGGTCAGCGATCATCATTAGGCCTGTAAGAAAGTATGCTAATGAAAGACAGAGGTGATCAGCACTTTAAGAGACCTCCAGAACCTGGAGTCCCAACAAGAAGATGCACCGGAATCATCGTCTACATGTCAGGAGACAGAAACTTATCTAATTTGCAAAGGAGCACTTGAAACAATATTATAACTGAGAAATTACGGTTTTAAAAATTTTGGTTTATGGTGTATGGTGTGTGGTGGTACTGAAAAGTGATATAAGATTGCCGTTAACGTAATCGGAAGAAGGTAAAAAAGGTTGACAACTGACATGAACGCATAAACCTATAAAAATAGCAAGAATAGTCTTGGCTATCTAAGTAACACATAAGAGATCAGAAAGTTAAAAATGGGGTGTCCAAAAACAAAACCATGATAATAATAATAATAATAATAATAATGTGTTGGTATATTATCAACAGATACAGTAGGTAAAGGTAATGATATCAGGGTATGAGTCCGGGACCATAAACAATAACTGAATTAGCAACTTGGTTAATGTGTAATGGGCATAATGGTGTCTAGAAGAAATGAAAATTATTTATTGATAACTGTTAACATTGATGAACTGAGAGTAAAAGGATTGGTAAAAATATTTAATTAGGGCAGGGAAAAGAAGAAGCAACAGTATTTAAATGGAACCATTAAACACATTAAAACAGTCATCTACATATCTGAAGTAACACTTTAAAAGTTTAGAAAATGATGAGTGATTCAAGTAAACCGTCTAATGAGTTCATGAATACTTCTGCTAAGAAAGGAGATAAATTAAAGCCCATTGCTAATCCTGTATTCTGTAAAAAGACTTGTTAAACTCGAAAAAGTTTTGTTCGAGAGCTAAACTAAGTAGGGAGCATATGTCTAAGGTAATGTGTGAAGGAACAACAGATATCTTACTTGCGATATACATTCTTGGGGTGGAATACTGGAAAAAAAAATGTTCACATCTAAAGAAAGTAAAATGGTGTCCTCGGACAGTTTGGTATTAGCAAGCTTCTTATTTAGTTCAATAGAATTCTTAATCTAGAATTTGTTGTTAATTCTAAATTAGACCATGAAAAACATTATATATATCGGAGCGCAGATATTTTATTCTTAACGTCTGCTACTGAAACAATTGATTATTTTCGAGTTTCTTCTTATATTTTTAATTTAATTACAATAATGTTCACATTTATAGTGGAAATTCCTAATTATTACAAACTCAATAGGAACTTACCTGCGCTAAAGTAGCTACTGTCAGTCCAAACGTGAAGGCGATTCTAATTTGAGCTGCATCAGCTGGTGCATTACCCATGGTTATGCAAGAACCTGTACCGATAAGTACCAAAATGAAGGTTCCCAGGCATTCTGCTACTAGGGCTTTCCATATACTTTTGTCACTGAAATCGCTGACTCCCAGGAAGCCGGTAGAAGTTTCATCTGGAATATAAACATATAAAATAGAATTATGTCATTTAAAAATGTAAATTGCTAATAATTATATACAGAAGTTTGCAGATATTGCTAAACCATTTACGCCATTTACAGAAGAAGGCCTGCCAAACAGCCTTGGAAACTTTAAAGAAGCATTTAACCACTGTGTCAATATGTGGCTAAGCACTACCAAAGGGAGGTTTTATTCTGGATACCTACCGATTTCAGTAATGCGGGAATTAAAGGTTTATTTTATTAAAGTAATCTTCAAACCGGAGCCAAATTACTGCGTCAAGAGAAGATAAATCCAGGCAGTTGTGAAGTGTGTAGAACACTTTTACCAATGAAAAGAAATTTTTAATCCGAAGCGATCCTGCAGGTGTTAAGTGGCTGATGTAGTTCAAGAACCCGGAGAGTCAAATAGTCAGATGGATTAAAAGAGTTTAAGAGCATGACTTTAAGATCAAACAAGCCGGAATTAGCCACTGTATATCTTAGAAGCCATTGCATTGATATTAAATGGTCTTTTTAAATTAGTTCATCATTCTTATTTGAGGTTCAAAGTGTAGTAAAAAATGTTAGGTTAGCTCTTTCAAAAATGGCGTACTGTCACAAGTTATGTATTGAAAAGCTTAATCCTGTTGCCTGACACTGATCGTCAGTATTTGCAGATATCGAAATAAATAATATAAAATGAAACAGTTACCATCCGAATCAAATGAACTGTTACGATTACGATTAGCCCTATATTTAAAGATCAACCAGTCGATACATTTCATTCTAAGGGTCCCCACATGACAAGTAAAAAGACTGGGTTTCTTGCAGGCAGCATCTCTGCGGATTTCGACTGTCGAGATCTGAAATTCTAAAATTCTGAAGCCGATTTTTTTCACTAATAATGATTCTTTCCAACAAACAAAACGTCACGTTTATGTCACTTTGACACCGTTAAACTAACCGCATTTGTCAATGTGGAGTACACGAAGGTATACTGGATTCAATATAAAATGCAATGCACGTTAACAATGACGTCAATGACAAAGCACACACGCTATCTAAATTAATGAAATTTTATTTAACAATTAATTAAACGAATAACTTTGGAAGGATAAATTTTCTTTTTTTTAAAGATGCGAATAACAAATTTAATTTTTTAGCATATCATAGTAGTACATGTACCGTAGGTAGTGTTTTAATAGAATCATTTTAGTGAATTCCATACTGAAAGTTGGTATCACATTCATGAACTGTCAATATGAACACGTTGTTGCCAAGAGTCTAGTACTTAGCATGACTCTATTTTCAACAAATTATTTTTTGTATTTGAGATTAAATCATCGACAAACTGTTCTTTTAAGAACAGATGATTGTGAATTTAATAGTGGTGTTCGTTTATTATTGTATATATTTTCAACGAAAAATGTCAAAATAATTTGTCGCTGTAACGAACTAGTGGCTTCTTTAATTAGGCATTCCAACGACCTGTCAAAATGCTGACACAAGTGGGAACTGACGTTTAGATATGACAACCCTGTGGCCTGCTGTTATTGACAGGGTCAATCATACATATATCGTTGTATAGATTGCTAAAAGCGGGTTCTTTTTGCGAGCGGCCATATTGCCTCCCAAGTGCTCAATAATCAGAATAAGTCTAACAAAAATGTGTTTTATTAGTCTTTGAATATAGTAAAAAAATAATTACCTACATTTTTACTTCAATGCATTAACTTATGTTTATTTTGAAAAACATGGATGATCAATCTATATAACTATCTATTTCGTTGACCCTGTCAAATCACTAGGCTTACAGGATTGCCATAATGTTGCCATAATGTTGTCATATCATAACCTGTCAAAACCCACTGGTAGCACATACTTTGATTACTATATGGTGCAAGAGAGAGGTCCGACACTCCCAACATATGGCGCGGCCATTTTGATTTGCTATGACACAGTTTATAGCTAAAGAATCAGATCGCTCACTCAGCGTCGGCACTTTTGATCTCAATGTTCTAATTTATACACTACGCAACTCGGATAATACAATATATGACAACCGACTATAATAAAACAGCAGTCTTCTACGTATCCTGAATTTGTATCCCTGGAGTGGATGTTATTTTGGAACTTTCAACTGGTCCGAGTGAGCTAACTGATTCTTTAGCAATAAACTGTGACCCCAAAAATAATATTCACTGACAGCAGCAAGCAAAATATCAGGTGCGTTTTAATCATCCGCTCGTGCTTCCGGAATTGTCGGTTTAGTCGTTTTAACTTGTCAGATTAAAACAAGACAACCGACAATTCCGAAGCAGAAACGGATGATTAAAACGCACCTATTAAAAATATTGCGCCAAGATGTAGGCAACACGTAATAAGGGATCAAAATGGCCTTTTAAATGCACATACTTTGATTTTCTTTTACTATACGGAGAATAGTCGCACTGCGCAGCTTTCTGAGTGCCTTTTAAAAGGAGATAGAAAACTCCGCCATTTTGATCCCTTATTACGTGTTGCCTACATCTTGGCGCAATATTTTTAATAGGTGCGTTTTAATCATCCGCTTCTGCTTCGGAATTGTCGGTTTTCTTGTTTTAATCTGACAGTTTAAAACGACTAAACCGACAAATCCGGAAGCAGAAGCGGATGATTAAAACGCATCTGACATTTTCTTACTTACTTACTCTGAGGACATTTTGCTTGCTGCTGTCAGTGTCAGTGAATATTATTTTTGGAGTCACAGTTTATTGCTAAAGAATCAGTTAGCTCACTCGGACCAGTTGAAAGTTCCAAAATAACATCCACTTCAGGGATACAAATTCAGGATACGCAGAAGACTGCTGTTTTATTATAGGCGGTTGTCATATATTGTATTATCCGAGTTGCGCAGTGTAGAAACTGGAACATTGAGATAAAAAGTGTCGAGCAGAGTGAGCGATCTGATTCTTTAGCTATAAACTGTGGCATAGGAATCAAAATGGCCGCGCCCTATGTTGGGCGTGTCGGACCTCTCTCTTGCCCCGTATAGTAATCAAAGTATGTGTTTAAAAGGCACTCAGAAAGCTGCGCAGTGCGACCATTCTCCGTATAGTAAAAAAAAATCAAAGTATCAAAGTATGTGACTGATTGGTTTGGAATGCCATAGATTGAGAACGAACGTGATAATAATGGGCCTCTGCTACTTTAAGCAACAGTTAAATACCACAGAGTAAACAGAGGATTGCAGAAGTGAGCAGAAGAGAAGATGAAACAGAATAACGAACTCTTAGAAATTATTTTTTTTTTGTTTTTATTTAAGTTAACTTTAATAGTTATTGTTTTGTACATTTTTAGTGAATCGAATCATCCTTTTTGAGAGTATCGGCAAGTTGTTGAAAATGTTGGTATACAAGATGATTCCATAATAAATGGCGCCCAACGTGGGACGTATTATGTTTGATGTATTTTTAAAATAAAATACTCGGAAAATTTGGATAAGACGTTTTTATAATCATTTCTTTCATTTATTTATTGATTTTGGTATATAAATTGAAAGTATAGTGTATAGTTTGTTTGGATGTTTATAAACACTTTTCTGTCAAGAATAGGAGGTATGTTAAATGAAGAGTAGAAACTAATTAGAAAAAAAGGACAACTAAAAGTGAGGTATTTACATACCATAAAGAAATAGTAAATAAAGATGAATAATGAAAGTTTAGAGTTTAAATTGTGAAAGTGATAATAAACATTTATAAAATTAAATAGATTTAAGAGGAAGAAAGAAGGCTGGTTTAATGGAGGAATATTCCGAAGAAATGAAAGAAATTGGAAAAGAAGAATAAATTTAGAGGAAAAGACAACAAGATAATGAAAAAATAAAGAGAGAAAGACAACAAGAGAAAAAGAAATAAAGAAAGGTAGAGAACAGATGACCAAAATGAATAAAATTGAAAAGAATATTAAACATAAAAAAATGGAGAGAGAGGACAGGAAGCAAACTAAAATAACAGTGAAGAAACAAAGAAAATAAAAGAAGGAAGTGGAAAGTTAAAACAATATGAAGAAGAAAACAGAATAAAGTACAGTAATAGATATTAAAGAAGTAAATAAAAGAAATGACGAGAAAAATTAATTAAGAGAATATGAAAAATTTAGAAGAAATATTAGAAGCAAATAAAGAAGTAAAGATACAAGAAATAAAAAGATTAATTTAAAAGACATAAAACTAGAAATTGAAGATGAAGAAGTTAACTAAGAAAGAAAGATAAAAAATACAGAAAAGAAATAAGTAATAGTAAACAAAAAAAAAAGAAAAACTGAAAAATTAAAAAAAAGGAAATAAAGTAAATTAGGAAATAAGTCAAATGGAAAAACAGAAGATATGGGAAATAAATGGAAGAAAATTCAAAAAGAAAGAAGGATAGAGGAAAACAGGGAACAAAATGAATAAAGATAAATCTAAGTCTAAAAAATAAAGTTAGTGGTTAACAAAATGTTGAAAATATAAGAAAAATGGAAACGAAAAGCAGTAAAGCACAGTGATGTTCTAAAGTCACCATCAAAAAAGCGCCCTAGGACAAAGAAAAAACAACACAAGAATACTGGATACCAGTGCTATTCGAGATATTATTTATAGCATGTACGAGTCGAGTAAGTGCAGATTAATAAATTATTAGTAAACATTTATAAAAAAATATGATTTCAGAGGAGCATATATCTGTAATATTGATTTGGAGCATTTCAAAACAGTATTATATCAGACACATTGGTCTGGGTGGGAAGACAGAGAGATACTATAACATAAATATCTGTACCTCAGAGGCAAACTATGTTAAGTCAAAAAATGCGATTTCTCAGAATAACGGTTTAAAGGTTTTTTTGGTATACAATCGGACAGTGACTTAACATATTTCATAAATTGCTAAATTCGTAAGGGGCAAGATAGCTCAAAAATGAAACTAGCAACATGCAGATTCTCAGATGTATGTAGACTTAACATCTTTATCATATTTTGGCCAAATTTTGACCTAACATAGTTTGCCTCTGAGGTACAGATATATTGTCTGAAGCACTCCGAACCGTCACCCCACAGATTTGGACAGACACTGCAAGAAACAAAACAAAATTTTTAAATGGTATGAAAGGAAACATAATAATTATAATGTACAGATTGGACATTGCTCCCACTATATTATAATAGTTTGTTTAATATTTTCTTTATTATTTTTATTGCTTAATTAAAACTGTTTATAAAAATAAACATGTTGCCTAGCTCAGATTGTTTTATCATATTTATTCTTGTTTAAACTTTTTAAGATTTGCCAGTCATTTTCAATTATGTTGTTATACAGGGCTATTGAAAATATTGAAATTAATTTGACCACAATCTCCTGAATAAACACCTGTAGTTAGATTTTTAAATAATTCTGACACGTAAATGAACAAAATATATTTTAAGGATTTTATTCGTTTTAATTATTCTCAAAAAATAATTTTTATGTTTAGTTTTTAATGTTATTTTTTGACTTGCCTTTTTTAAGTTGGTACTGTCTCGTAGTTGAAACAATCACTCGCTGTACCTCACCCATTTATATATAAAAAAA